TGCACTAAACTGCCCAAGATTTCACAGTTCACAGCATCACAATTCTTCCTTCTGAAGACCAGGACAGCATGAAAGCAAGTAAAGCAGCTTTCTATTTTGGGCATATGAAAAAGTTACAGCTGTAGGGCTTTTAGGGACTTCATCGTTTTATCGCCATTATAGCACTAGCAGTAGAATACTGTTCGTAGTTTATTGCTCTAAAATGTCAGAGCTATTTAAAAAGAAAACCCAGAACTATAACAAAAAGTAGAAACATAAGGGCAAGCACAGGAGTATGTTTTCTTCATTGAGTTTTTCTCACTACCTCCTTTTCCTAAGCAGGAGAGCAGGAGCGTACAGTTTAAATCTGACACTTTCACGATCTTGCTGATCAGTGCTAGAACAAGCATTACACTAAGCCACCGTGTCTTCTTCCTTAGTCGTTAATGATTAATTAGTACTTGAACAGTATCTCTGAAGGGGATTTAAAATGCAAGCGGATGATCTTTCATTAATAAAACACCATCCTGAAGTTTTAACGCACATAGTTTTTTGTACCGCATTGAGCAGTATCATACGTATCTATCATCAACACCCTATAAAGTAAGATAGTCCCAAAATAAGAAAAACAACTCAGAGCCCCCTTGTTACTTCAGAAACATATAAGGATGCATATTTTCATATGCATTATGTGTTTGTCACTGATACAGATTAGTCTTCCACTACAGCATCTCTGAAAACTCCCAGGTACTTACAGTTGTGATTTTAACTGAGCAGATCCTTTTGGCAACTGATTCATGTAGAGTAATATGTTTATATTTTGCTTTAGGGCAAGCAGCTTTGAATCTGGCACTGTGCAAAATATGGATTTCTCTGTCCTTGTTTTTTCATTATAGAAGAGCAGAAGATGCCTATAAAAATATCTAAAATAAAGTGTTAAATAAAAAGAAATGTGAAAGACAACCACTCTTTCACAAATGTACAAGCAATTTTAAGACACATTCAACATGTAATTCACATTTTCTGTATCATTTGAATTATAAAATGAATATGAATATTGAAACTAGAAACTAGGAGTTAATGCCGTAATGCAAATTCTGCAATGCAGGGTGCAACTGCATTGAGATTTACATTTCAAAAAGGGCAAGAGCTACCAGCAGCTCTCTGTGCACACATGAGCTCACCTGAGCAGAGAACGCCTTGCAATAACGATGGCATGGCTGTCGTGCAGCACTCTCCCACGAAGATGAAAGCACTGACTGTAATTACATTCGCCTGTTCCTAGAGCTACAACTTCATGCTGTCCAGCTGAAAAAGCAAAACAAAACTAAATAAAACAAGGCGCTCTGGGGGCACAAGCGGCCAAAGCTCTCCCCTCTACTCCCCAATACTAATACTGGGACAGACTTGCCTTTTTCAATGATGAAGGCAGCCAGCGAACTGCCACAACTCCGGTACTCAGGATATTTGGCAGTCAGGCTATTAAAGACTCCTTTGAGTGTTTGCGAAAGCTTTTGATAAATAAGCGGTCTCCCTTCTAAATTACACAATAAATATGTAAGTATTCTGGAGAAAATCTGGCAGTATTAACCACTCATTGAATTACAAATCTAAATAAGATTATTTCTTACCAAAACGTATCTTGGAAACATTAACAGGGTTTGCTGGTGTTTTGGGTTCAATGGGAATACAGGGAGGACCTGATAATATAACAGAATATAAACTGAATACAAAAATATAAATTTAAAAAAAAAAAACTTTCAAAAAAATCACTAAAAAATTTTCTTGAGCAGAGACCCTTAGCAGAAGGCAAATGTTATGATAACTGACGATTTTGGAAGCAGCAGTTCAGTGCTGAAGACTTACTTACAAAAATACAAAAACATCTATAATTAACTTCATACTGCCCTTACCTTGTGAGAATTAAATCAAGTGCAACAGGAATAAACAGATTACTCCCTTCAGCATTTCTCCTGTAACACAAACTCTTCACAAATAACTCTTAAGAATACACAAAAGACAAAAAGAATGGACAGCTTCAGAACTACATGCTGAATAACTCTGAACAAAGAAGGCCCTGATAAAGAAGTGTTAATAAACTATATAGTTTCCATAAGAAGCCTGTAAGCAAAGCTCTTGACATTTTCAGTGAGTGTTGCTAGAATATTTACCTGACTTTCCAGAATTCATTGCCTCTGCACACTCCAAGTCAAGTAACTCAACAAGAGCCAGTTTGGCAGCATTTGATTTAGATTCTTTTTTGTTTTGTCCCAATCCAGTCTTGCAGCAAACACCATCCACCACAGCACAAAAAGCAAAGTAAGTCGTTTTGTTATCACCTTTAATAGAGAAAAAGGCACATGGCACACAGGGTAAAATTATTATACCATACTTTTATTCGTATCTTTATGCATTTATAATCATTACAATGACAAATACATGACAAAGACAATTTTAGGAAAATATATGTACCCTCAAGAATTATGGCAGCTTTTTCTTTTTCCTGCATTTTTCATGAAGTTTTATTTGAGCCTCAAATAACATTAACACTCCATTTCCCAAACTGTCCAGCAACATACCGCCGGTCTTGTTACTATTATTATAAGCTCCAGTTTCTTACAGACATGAGAGCTGACTCATCTGCTCATTAAATAATTGATAACAAATAAGAACACGAAAAAAGCGTCATCAGTATAAAGCAAGCACCTGTGGAGGGACTATGATTAGTCAGGATAGGAACTAGGAAATATCAGTAATGAACAAGTGTTTTCTATTTGGTTTTATAAGAATTCAGGCTTCAGAGAAGAGGCAAGTTTAGAACAGTAATCTTTTGCCAACTGACACGATATAAAAGATTTAAATAAAAAACGAATAAACCAACGTACACCTTCATAATGAGCTCTTCAATTTATCCAAGGGCTGCACTGACTCAAGCAGATGTGATTCCAAGCACTGGAATTTCTTACATCAAGTAGAGAACAGTAATTCTGTTAGAAACTTGCACTATAGACAGTGGGAAGGAAAAATGCAGAAAGCAAGCTATTTGCAGAAGTCATCCTTGTCTTTCCAATCAACATTTCCAAAGAGTTAAGAAGAGAAAAATTAGAGTACTTGTTTGGCCTAAGAAAAGAAGTGTTTACCTGATGCACTAGTTTCTTTCAATTCAAGTGGTACATGGTGCATTTGTGCATACTGATGCAAAGCAGATACTGGGTTTATAGCTCCACTTTTATATTTCGCAATAAACCCCTCTAGCATTTTTCTCGAAGGAAGTGATGATACTGGAGCCGGAAGAGCTGCTTTGGGATGCAAAGACTCTGGAATATGACCAAAAAAAAAATTTATTAGGACTAAAC